CCAGTTATGAACCAAATACTTCTTTATTACTGTGAAATATCACCTTTGTAGACGTTATTTACTTCCATATGCCATATTTTATCGGGAAATATGCGATTTGGTGCCGAAAACATCACCGAATTGCCGTGACTATGAACCAATACTACCCCATACCACCCAATACTACCCAATACTACCCCATACCACCCAATACTACCCAATACTACCCCATACTACCCAATACTACCCCATACCACCCAATACTACCCCATACCACCCAATACTACCCAATACCACCCAATACTACCCCATACCACCCAGTTATGAACCAAATACTTCTTTATTACTGTGAAATATCACCTTTGTAGACGTTATTTACTTCCATCTGTCATATTTTATCTGGAAATATGCGATTTGGTGCCGAAAACATCACCGAATTGCCGTGACTAGGGGTTCGACGATTTACAGGAACGGGCAGGAACGGGCAGAAATCTATTTATATATATTAGATACATTTAAGTATCATTATCGGGTATAAGATATATTTGATAAAAGAATTGCAATTACATGATACTATATTAATTCTGTTCATGTCATAAAATGGTGTTATTGAGATCATATATATAAAATTAACAGGAAATATTTAGAAAATTTGAAATTACTTTTCAAAAATGTTAGTTATTCAATTTTGTTAAACATAACAGTATCAATTATATAACAATGCTGGAGAAGAACCTTCAGTTAAATAAGATACTCAAATACTATGAAATTCAAAAAGTATATGGAAATAAATGTATATGATTCGAAGTCCTTTCAATTACTTGATTAACTCACAGATAGTCTGTTTTGGACAAGCTAAATATAGTTCTCTGACCAATCTTATGAAGGGTAGACGAGTAGGTTGTCATTAATCAATGTAAAAATTAAATAGATAAATAAAAGGAATTACGTTATGCTTCTTATACATCAATCCAGAGACGTATATATTACATATTACGTAATATATATATACGTCTTTGATCATCCGAAAGCAAAATACTAAATGACATGAAAACTTGATTCGACTCCCAGAGATACTGTATACACATATATACTTTTAATAACCCTGTGTTTGTGACACTAATTAGGAAATAACAGAAATCTGTTATCAAA